ACCCATCGCTTTAGAACTTGGGGACAGCACCGAGCTGTCTGGTGTAAAATTAGCCCAAAGTCCTCGATGCAACTGATGTATCCTATCCAATCGCTAGATGACCCGTAAGTTGCCTACGCCGTGGTCGATAGGCGACGGATACTTCGGCGAAGTTGAAACGTGGTTCGTCCAACACATATTCATTTTTCTCTTCACACAGGGTGGGTTTTACTCTTCGTCCTTTCTCCATTTAGCTGTAGCACTCTACCTCGCGGTCACACTATCCAGTGGAATCCTCCGTTGGCAGAATGGACGCCGACTCAGTCCCGGTTCTCTTTTTTCATAAACTCGTACCTCTAAGTAAATCTAATTAAGAAGCTTCGATTAAAAGTTTTTGGGGTCGTTGCTGTCCTACAATTTCATCTTTCCAGGCCGAACCGTCCCGGTTCGAAATAATCATTCCCCTGGTTGAATAAGCTCTCCCCACGTTAAAATCCATAGGAGGCTCTCCTATATCCGGGAGAGGGTGCGCTGAGCCGGGAATAATTTAACGTGGCCCCGACGAATGGCCATTGATTTACGAAGCATCAAACTTCCAGGAAAGTTAGCCGCGTATCGAGACCGTCCTCTCTCCTCTCTCTCGTCCCGTCCGGTTTGTTCTTAGGCTGCTGTTAGCGGATTCGATTTAACTTCTCCTGTGGGCGAACGACATGGTGCTCGACTGGCAACGAGCTCGCCGGCCGAACCAACGCACACAGATCAACCGAATAGGAGAGAGGGAGATGACCAGTAAGAGCAATTTGCCAATATCGAAAGTGTTTGTCGGTAATCTGTTGCCGAGCTGTTCTTGCTTGTTACTAGAGGCTTGCTTCTTCCTTTACTGTTTCCCTGCTTGCTTGTCCCTAATCAATCGCGCTTGTTACTCTTAATGACTTATCGTTTAAACACAAAGGGCCTAGCTGGATAAGAGGGTCAAATGTGCCCTTGAGCCGAATGAAGCGCCGTTTGCGCCATTCGATAGCATATCAAAAAAGAAACATTCACTCCAATTTTTAGCCCTATATCTCTACCAGGGGGGGAGTAATCGGGAAAATTCGAAAAATCAGTTTTTTGAGGTTTTTCCTTATTTAACGCCTTGCGAAAAATCTGAAAAAATTCTGACATGTCCGCAGTGTAGTTGATTTCGCAGATCAATGATGTTTTTTAATCCATTGAGTCGCTCTTATTAAAGAGAATTTGATAATTATCGGAATTAAATAAAAAATACATACACGGCAGTCAGAGTGCATTCTGCTAATGGCTCACTATAATTGTTTAATAATCTTCGAAGTAGCAGAAATATCCAAAAGTATTTTCACACCATAAATAATGGAAAACTCGTCTGCTAAAAACAAAAACCGAATAGCGTTCCGATAGTCAATTGCGCATCATTAGTTATTAAATCGATTAGGATAATTGCATTGGCGAAATCATTTCGAATTCAATTGCTTTCCCGGGTGACTAAAAACAGTCCGGTTTTATCTCGCGTTCGCCGCGCGAGAATGAATTCAGAAGGGTTATTTGTCGATCCCGGCACCAGTTTGTCGAGCGGACCGCGTGGCACATTCTCGATCACCGAGGCGAACGATCTCGAGTTCACGATCTTGATTTCTCACGGTGACCAATTGATTCTCGCTCGACGCGAAGCTTTATCTCGCGCGTTGGATCACAACACTCCCCTACGGGAACCGGTCGTGGTTTACATTTAGTGAAATTGCTCCGATATTTAAGAACCAATTCTCTTCTCGCACTACCTACTCGCTTTTTATTATCTACATTTATTTTCTTATAGGAAAATCTTTTATGCGTATATTTTAACATAAAAATATACAAAAGTGCATAAAGGATCAATCACTAATAAGACGTAAGTGCATCGTGACATTTAGAACATTAAGGGAAATAGAAATTTTTAAATTGATCCTATCAAAATGTTACTTTGCATATAAAATCCCAGTCTACTTACAACGTATATATAGACATAAGCGTATATACATATAGGTATAGATAGGCCCCGTGCTTGGAATTTGTCATCTTGTCTCTGATACGTCTCGAACTGAAATGCACGAGCAGCCAATTTAGTAACAAATATTTTTCTGTTTCCCATTTGTCATTCTGACTTGGAAAACATTATGAATGCATACGCGACACCGTGTTATTTTCATTTCAACTATGAATAGAAGTCTCGCGTCGTACTCGCGTGAACTTAGAACCAAAACAAAGTCTAGAATACCTAGCCACCTGCATACGCGGATGACGACGCCCTGTACTTATGGAACACGTATCCCCGTCTTTGAACTTGCGTTTTAAATCGTTTTTAAGCTACATCGATTTCCCTGACATCGGTTCATCAAAATCATCCCTCCCGCGAGTGCTTTCAATTTACTTTGCAACGTTTCCATTAAACAAATTCCTCATTTCCTAAACCTTTGACGATTCAATAACGTCTGATCAAAGCTTTCAAATACCTTTAGTTTCTTTTAATAAGAAATAAATGGATATTAAAAAAACTGCGAATTCAACATTTGCATATAGCAAATAAAATTCCTACGATATGAATTTGAAAAATTTCTTATTCAGTGCATCAAACCAGCACTCTAAATGGTAATGAACGGAGTGACATTCTGACGGAGTAACGAAGAATTAAAATTAGGAGAGGTAAATCAAGTTAGCAGTGTAGGTACTCGGAGAGTGTCACGAAACTGGTAAAACAAAACACAAAGCTTTCGGGATCAAACGATGGACAGTGTAATGTTATATCGGGTAGAGTGTCTCATTCCGCATTTTCCTCCCACTTCTTGTACCCGACGATCGATCGTTTTGCCGATCGTTAAACGAGTGCCGTGCGTTCCAACGATCCAAAGCCCTTTCCCGGACATCGTAACTGCATGTCGACATCAAATACATTTTAAACCCCATTCCATCCGTGCGCCGGAACACTTTGGTAATCATCGTATAACTATATCCCAAAACTCAAAGAATCGATTTGCAACATCGTTCATTGTTGTTTTGTTAAAACAAAAAGTACAACGTACTATCGTTGGAAGAATATACATACAATTTCATAAATCAAAATTTAGCATGACGTTTGAATTAAAATAATTTTTAATTTGAAACATTTGTCGAATTGAATGAATGAACATTTGAATGAACCGGGATGTAGAAAAGCTGAAGCGATGTGGACAGGGAAAATTCGTTTAAGGACGCACGAAATTTATTCGAGGCGGAAATAAAACGTTGCCAGGAGAGGGGCGTGGGAGGAATCGTTCGGATTTTGTCGCTGGGCTGGATAATGAAGGACCATCGTGTCACCGATACATTATACTGACGAACGCGTCGTAAATATTCCGCAACAGAATGAAACGAGCCGATTAATCAGCCGCATTCGAACTGGGGGTGGCGGTTATTTAACGGGTTCGATATGCGAAATGCATCGTCGATCGTCGGACCAATTCTATTTATTATTTAAGCGCTCGAAAACGATGCGTCGAACGATACTACACTCCATACGGACAAAATCCGCTGTGGCAGGTATCGAAATTACGATTGAAAGAATACTCGTGGTATACACGCGAACGACCGGCAGTGTATAATCCGGCGAGTGAAACGAGATGAAAACGTTAATTACGACGCGGCACGCTTAAGCGTCGCTGTTTAGCACGGGATTAATCTGTCAGGGGACGGAGTGTGAAAAACTACCCGCTTTCAAGATGCCGACTCTTGCGGCGGGGTCGTTTGATTGGCAGCTCTTGAGGACTGTTCCACTTCTCTCTGGCTTTTTAAAAATCACTCCGAGAGACTACTGACCGGGTTCGTGTGTATGTATATCCGACGAGGAAGCGATGAGAAGAAGGAGGGTGGGAACACGGGCGCAGGAAACGAAAGGAAGACTTTATTTTCGGTGGCCCGATGACGCTGATCGGCGCGAGTGTGGAAAGGAAGAGGAGGAACGACGCGTCGAACGTCACGGCGGCGTCCGGGGCGAAAGAGCCTCGGAAAGGGGCAGAGCTGGAGGGGAACGGGACAGGAAGAAAGCGAAATGTCCTCGAGACTCGAATAATGGCTCCGACTCGACCCAGGTTCTGCGATTCGTAACAGTTTCGGACCGTTTTATAGGAGCAACCTCTGATTGCGCTCTTCGCGCAACGTCCGCTCTGTTGATTTTAATAAGTGCTAAGTCACTGTGGCCCGAACCGTTTCGAGACCAGATAAACATCGTACCCGTGATATCAATTCACGTTCTAATTGCGAATGAATAATCATGAAGAAGTATTATCTAACAAGAAACGATGCATTCACCGAAAACGCACTTACACACATCCGAAACGTAAACGGAGTTCTATCTTCATTGAAAACATTGTTCTAAATAGAATGTAATTCGCGACGCAGTTTACATCAGAATCGCCTGAGGCGTCGTTTAACTAGAATTTCTGGATAAGTGCGTCGACGTACCATTCATAATAATTAAACGACAATACGAGACGATAATGCTTTCGCCCCAATACACAAGGAGAATTGTGCGCCTCGTAGCGATATCGAGACTACGGCGTAAATAAAAACAAAGGATCAGGAAGAAACGAGATAAAAAAAAAATAAAAGATTACGATGTTACTAACGAGAGAATCTGATGTGCATTTCATGGCTGAGAACGAGATTTTCTCGGGACATAAATAAGCATGAAAAAAGAGAGGACGAGGGGAAGGGGGAAAGGATAAAAAGTAACAGCGTCGTCCACTAGATTGTACTTATAAATGTCTGAACGAAGGACGATCTAATGCAGAGCGGCGAGGAACCGAGCGAGACGGAGAAAGGCGCTTATTGTGCGCTGAACCATGTCGCCTTAGCGCACCGAGCAAAGTGAAACCTCCGCAAAAAGCGAAAACAAAAAATGAACGTGACGAGGGTCAGTAGAACCTCCGTGTACGTCAACACTGCGTGAAAATACGACGTAAAACGAAGAATGGAATTCGTAACGCGAGGTGCGCCTGCAACAAGCGGCATAGAGACGTTCCGAATCATTGAAAACTTGTGTACCGTTAACATGTACGTATATCATGACTGCCATCTTCAATTTTGGTATCACTATACAGCCATTAACGCATTGTGCAACAAAAAGTTACGTGACGGACAAGCACCATCATTTCTATCGACACAGTTTTCCGTTTCATTCGATTCGAAACAAAAACAGTTGTTTACGCGAATGTATGTTAATAGTGGACAACTGAGACCTGAGTGCACTCACTTCTGCTTAAGGAACACGGCGATCAACTGGCATGGCTTTCTTGTATGTAAATAAATGAATACATATTCGTAGTTTATACATGAGAACAATGAAACGTACATGCCTTTTCGCTTAGAATTACGCGATAATTTGATGATTTTCGAAGATAAACACGTACGAGACGTGTCATACCTAACCAATTTGGCGGTCGCGCAACAAAGAGAACGTATTTATGTTTCAGTACTTACTGGATAGGAGAGCTGTGGAAAAAGGTGGCAGAGGTGGAGCGAGGCAGACGGAGAAGGGCGAAACGTCGTCGCGAAGCGTAGAAGGAAGGAGAGAAGAAGCAGAAGGATCACGCGTGCGGTTCCTCGGTTGTTAGGTCGTCGTTACACAGGTTCTTAAAGGTCCCATGGTCTGGCCGTGTCTATGTCTGACTGTGTGCAGAGTTGCGGAGGTCTCGTTCTCGGTGCGCGCGCAGAGCCTCGACCGGCGTCCACCAGAAGTCGCTGGCGCTGTGGCCGGCCTCGGGCTGCGCGAGCGGGCCGTTCAGTCTAATTTGAACCGTCGCGCGCGCCCGACGCGGGGCCACCGACAATCCCTTCTCCGCCTCGACGTGACACGAGGCTCCTCGTGCATGCCGCGTGCAACACACGCGCCGATCCCCCGCACGATATTTAACCGCACGCGTGCCCGACGTATCCGAGGCACAAGCGGAAACCTCGTGGTTCGTTCGCGCATCGGTAAGAAACCAAGTTCACGATCGTCTCCTCGCGAGAGTGACGACGTTCACACGTTTCATCCGTTCGGTTCCCGGTCTGCCGGGAATTCTCGTCGCAGCAAAAGTCGCGCAACGAGAAGCCTTGTTTGAACGACCGGGTGTTTCGTGTGCGCGATCATCGCCGTTTTCGTTAGTAGTGCCGCGAAACGTCGTCGAGTTTGGACGGCGACGGGGTGGAGGAGGTGACGGAGAGGGAGGAGCAGGAGGAGGAAGAGAATCGTGTGGTAAAACTGAGCAGTGAAGTGCGTCGCGCCGAGGGCTAGACTTCGACGGCCGACACTACCAACCGCGGGAGAGCCTCGTGAGTATATTTAAATAGTGTGTCTCTCTGGCTGGTCAGAGGAAGCCGACAGTTTCTTGGTCTTCTTCGTCCTCGTCGTCGCCGTCGTCTTCGTCGTTGTGATCTTCTTCTTCTTCTCCCTTCTGCTTCTTGTTCGTCTTGTTCCACCGCTCCTTCCTCTAATATCGTGTGCCATCATCCTCGGCTTTTCCTCGTTCGGAGTGCAACGTGATACGACGGGAGGACAGAGAGGCCACGGCACCGGGGGTGGCACGCGAAATTCTCTATCGACTGTCGGCGATTTATTTCGAGATACGGATATTGGTGCCGCCGATTCGACGCCGGTGCAGTGTTTCAAGACGCCTACCGCTGACGATTCCGAATGGGAAGTTTCGTCGTCAAGGAAGGTTTGAAATCTAATAAAGAACCCTAGAGTAAATACATTATTTTGAATACGCGAGTATATATTTAACGCGAGACATCTACGATAAGAGAAAGGCGGAAACGGTACCCGATCGTGAATCGAGGAATCGCTCGCAGGATGCGATTCTCGAGCAATCGACAGGATGATTGGGACTTTTGAACCTTACGTCTCGATGCCGTTTAGAGCGAGCGCGATCGCGACAACCGGCGGTCGTGATCGTTTGCGATAATCGTGAATTTCGACGCAGTACGATTCCGTACCGCGGTACTCCCGTCGCGTCCGTCGAGACATCAAGGATGAAGAGGACGGTACTGCGCTGGATGAAGAGCAGACAGCCGAGAATCTGTCCGATGGAAGTCCCGAAGTTTCGCTGCTGCCGGTGGTACAACACCTCGTGAAAAACGTTTTCCTTTCAACGACGGAGATCGAGCGTGGGTCCACAGAGAAGAGATCGCCGCATTTCGAGACGAATGAGGCTTCGTTTAAAATTCATCGTCTGAGAGAGCGCGAGACAGGGGGAGAGGATACTTCGTAGAGGAGTGGATAGACCGTTTCGTCGCAGGACTTTGAGGCGAATTCGGTCGCGAGATAAGAAGAGTGCGAGAAGAGTGGTGTGCTGCGTCGCGTTCGGGGTGACCGAGGTGTCGACCTCACCCCCGATCAAACCAGCAACCAGGTCGGATGATGTGGGCGTCTCTGTTTTTGGCCGGGATCTTAAGCGGCTGGTGGGGCGCACTGGCGCTCGCTGCGGCACCCCCCGCCAATCGGAACTCCCTCGAGGAGACGTCAACGAGGACCACCAGCGACCATCCGCCATCGATGAGCATCGCCGCCACCGTTGAAAAGTCCCTCGATTACCGTTTGCCAACTTGGAACTTCGTTACGCGAAATATCGATAGACGAGCTCTAGACCAGCAGCAACCGGCTCACGATCCGTCTACGAGAGATTACAAATTACCAACCGACGACGTTCGACCAACGCCGGGGCTTGAGCAACGACCGTCTGAACGGCAGCAATCCCAAGGGGGAAGATCGAATTCGCAACTTTTCGGATTCGAGAATGAGAAGACTCTGGCCGAGACCGATTTGTCGGCCGACCTCTATTCCGTTCGAGATGCCTTGCAGGGATACACGGAAGACGTGGACGACTCGATACGCGACGCATTTATCTCCTCGTCGAGACGAGTGGAGGATCGTCCGGAGGCGACAAATATTAATCCAAAGACGGAGGAGTCTGGACTGATCCGCTTGCCTCGTCACTCGTCAACGCAAACGCCGTTTCTCTATCCGTCCGGCAGCGAGTCGTCGGTGGAGAGGCCGCGGGTGATCCGATCGACCAAGCAACGACCAAAGAACCGCACGAAAGCGGACTCGCCTAGAGAGCAACGACGGCGATGTCGTAATAAGGGCTGTCGCGGCCAAAACTGGTGCCCGGACGTGGACGTCGGCAACAGGGCGTTTATGGCCCCAACGGTGTTCGAGGGTAAAGCGAGGAGCATGTCCTCGGTGAGGAAGCCGGGCTCAAACTACGCGGTGACGTTCGAGGTGAAGCAAGTATACAAGAGCCAGCCCGGTTTCCAGCCACTGCAGAAGAACGACAGCGTTCGGTTGCACTTTCGCGACAAATCGGCACCCGGGAAGTCGACGGTCTGCAGCTACGACAACGACGGGAAGCAGCAACAGCAGCAGCGCGATAATCAGAGTGGTGTGGTGCGAGCCAATATTAAGAGGGGTAAAGTGTATCTAGTGTTTGTGAATCGCGTGGGACCCAGGAACTTCACGATCCTCGGTGAGCCGGTGATACGAAGCAAGAAGAACGAACAGGCGGTGCAGGCTGTCGTTCGACCGGATTACGGTGAGTACGATTTCCATCTCTGGTCCATTAATCTAAGAGCATCTCACTCCCGACGAAGAAAATTGCTATTGAGAACGATCGGGAGTTATTGCAGCTACGTTCATTTCGATTCACAAGCCCGTCTCGTCGTGCATATCGCTCGTCGTCGAGTCTACTGCTATGTACGTACATACCATATTACCATGTATCTCGGCACCCGCGTGCTCGGTTCGCTTTTATTTCGACATGTCGCGTCGCGCGTCGGGACCGGTAGTCGCGTGTAACAATGCTATCGAAAGCTCGTTACATTTCTCCCTGAATTCTTTTAAAAAGATCTTTCACCGATACGCTATCTCGTTTCCGATATTTTTCTACACTTTTTATTTTGTTTACTGCCCTGCGTGGACGTTGTGACGGTTCTCCGATACGGTCGGATTATGTACGACGGTAAAAGTGGTGTTTGTACCGTGAGTTAGAAACCTAATCCGGAGCGCAGTAATAACCGTGGAACGTCTTTCAGCTTCGGCAAAATCATTACGGACAGTTAAAACCGTGAACGATAAATTGTAACCCGTGCATTGACGCTATTACTTATCGTATCCAAGACTCGTTTCTGGTTGTTCGAGAACGCCCACGTATACGCGGTATAGAGGGAAGAAGAGGTGCTTTCTTCGAGGCGCGTAATCGAGACGCGAACACGCGTATATTTAAAGCGCCACGTAAGTTGGATCGGCTTCAAGTCGGGGCGTGCGTGCGGCTCGAAACTCGCGCGAGCGAACACGAGAGTCACCGAGTAGAAGTCGGCTGCTCGCTTTTCTTATTCGATTCCCATCTCGGCGGGGCTTTTCCACCGGACCTCGGCCAGAAACGCGCGCGTAACGAGCGCGGCAACTTTTTGAAAGTGGTCCAATTTGCCGCCGGTTCAATGCGCTTTTCCCACTCGTAGATGATTCCCGGCCAAATACTCTCAGCGTTCGATGACTGCGGCGACCTTCCGCGCGGCTTGATTTATCGCGCTTAAGTCGTGCGCCACTCGGTCTCGAGATATCGAAAGTAGCTCGTCACGGAACATCTGTGAAACTTTTGACGAGCTGACGCTCTCGGTTAGGTCTCGTCGCGCACATGTGGCCTCCCTTCCGACCGGTAAACGGCGTGCCGTGCCGCGCCGTGTTGTCGAACCCATCGATCCCTCGCATGCCCCCCGACACCGACATTTATCACCGACACTTATTTATTCGAATTAGTCATGCCAGAAAATTACATATTTTATACTACATGTACAGTCATTGTGAGACGGGTTATCGATACCGTTGGTGATCTCATAGATAACGGCGCTTGCCAGAATTAGCAATATTCTTCTGTTATGAAATGGCCAATATTTATGTGCGTAGCGTTTGATGGAAATGAATCAGCTACACGAAACTGATAACGTAACGGGCACGGAAATAAATTAGGAGAGAAACTGTTTAACTCTTTCGTTGGATCTCATAAAAAACATTTGAATACAAATTCATGTGAATTTTCAGATACGTTCGCGTTCCATAACTATAAAAACAATTGTTATATTCGTGACAAAGTACCATATGCATTCGAGCGGTGCATATACGTGTACTTTTTTTATTTATTTGACTCGCAACGTGCACATTTTTGCTTTTGTTTGTTGAGGGTGTTTACCGGATTTTAATAATAACAATGATAAAATTGGCCATTCGTTCCACGTTTGTTCGACTGTTTCGTTCTGTCCATAAACGATATGATTTGCAAATGCGCATAGAGAATTTTTTCCACTACGAAGGGGAGGGAAAAAGCGGAGAAACTTCTTTGATACTTCTTCTTCGAAGTAACTCGACTGGGAGCTTCGTTAGCATCGTTTTCGTCGTTCACTTTCCTCGTCTCGTTTACGAGTTCGGAACTGTTGCGCTCGTTTGCCTAGCAGCCACCCCCATCTCCGCCCAGCCTCTTTCGTGCGTATTACACGTCCACGTTGACGCGTATCGAAAGTTTTCGCGACTTATCCCATTATCAACCCTTGGAGTATCTCGTCTCGCGAAAAGCAGCCCCTGGATCCTCAACCGTGCACTCAACGCCGAGAGACTTCGCACCTCTACCTCTGGCTTAAACCGATTTATCATGTACGGCTGAACGTTGAGAGGTAAATTGGATTCCCCTCCGAGCTTCGAGCCACCTCTGATAATCACGTCGAATCTTTGTCGAAAAATTCGCTACACTTATTCCACGTTACTCGATTTTATACATACGTATTTCTATATACGTATACTTACACTTTATTTACTTGCGGGATCATTTTTCTTGTGTAGATTAATGTTCTTTATAAAGATATTATAGAACATTGAAAATCTGGAAACAGGAATTTGTGTTCTTAAACCGGGACAGTGTTAATCGTTTGGTTTCCTGGAAATGAAAAGCGTAAGATCTCCATTAGAAGGGTTGGGCGTGAAAAGAGGCGCAAAAGCTTGGCGAACGCGTCTGGTGTCCGACGACGCGACGGTTCGTTGATCCGCGATCCGCAAAAGCGGGTCCGCCGGCCCTTCTTCCAGTTGCCGGTGACTAAGCCAGACGGGGGGAGCCGGGACGTCAATTATAAGGCCTTAATCGGAAACCCGTCCTTACTTCTGTTGGCTTACTCGGCCATGCCACCCGAGTGAGACAGCAGGCCGAAGAAAAACGGAATATCAAGAGCATAGCTCGTCTACAATCTATCCTCGTCTTCAACCCTTCGACTACTATTTAGGTCCATAATTCTTAGTTTTGAGAAAAATTCCACGAGTGGGCGGTGCTCGATAATTTGTGAGGCATTTACCTTGAAAATTGAGAGCCATTAATAAACTCGCGAATTTCGTGAACGAACGTACGCGCTTGTAATCGAAACTGCGAAATAAACGAGGTGCTCCAAAATTCTTTTTAACGGCGATTGATTTTGAATGACCGCTTCAGCGATTAATGAACTTTCGAAGCACAATCTCGAAAGCGATCAAACGGCACTCACAGCCGTATCTATGACTCGTTTAATCGCACGTATTATCGATATCTTGATACGTTAATTACATCGACGCGACGAGTCGCAATTCTCTAAATCTAATTTTTCATTGAAATTATGACTTATTGCATGATCTAGCGGAATCTTCCGATTAAGATGGTCGTCGATGTTGACTTTTGATGAACAGTGAGCAGATAGAAGTGTCCAAAAACTTCTGAACGGAGGTGTACATAGCGGGCGGATTAAGAGCTCGCGTTCGCAGAAATTTCTACGAAGCTATTCTTAGATCGGTGTACAGTTGCACGGTGCACGCAGCGATTGCGCATTATGGTATAACTACGAGAGTTCGGCGTGTACTCCGGTTTGCTGGTGCACGCGATATCGCATTATCGCGTAGGCCGACTAGAATCTTCGGGCACGTTGTCGGCACGATGACAGCTCCTAAAAGGGACGCGCACTTAACGTTCACGGCTGCCGAGTTATTTCGGCGTTCGCCTCGAGTACCGAAGTCGTGTGCAATGGAAGCACATGCGGGTGCTCGTTAATCGTCTCGATACTTGCACTTTCTCGGTAGAAGACCGGACGTGTTCTTTTCTTGGCAAAACCAAGTGAACTCGGTACTTTCATGGATGCTCGAATTCTTCGATCCTCACGACTCTATCTCGTTTCGTACAACAACCTTCCCTTAGGGAGATTGCCATACAAGTTAATCGATGATTTTGTTATCGGGTGTATGTAGGGCGCAACGGTGCTACGTTGCAACGGTGCTTCGAGCAGATAGTTAAAGGACTGGCTGCTTCCATGGTAACGTCTTGCCGTAACACTTTCGGTCGACCCGTCGTTAAAAATTGTCTCGTATCTCTTCGGTTGCGCGTGTCTCTAAGCGTGGCAACGACATCGCAGACGTTTTCGTTTAGAACGTCCGCCGGGACAGCTCGATGTCCATTTTTGCCTATACCGAGCGGACAGGTCGTCTGTGAAACTGATAGGACTGTCATTTATACGTCTACTTCAAAAATCGTATATTGGTCAATGCCTCTTCCATCTATCACGTGGTCTACGCATTTATCTCCGTCGGGACAAATTAGAACGTGTAATTAATGAAATAGCTTCGGCTCTCTCGTCCAGTCTGGGGAACAATTTCGAGCGCCCGTTTCTCTGGTGTTCGATGTCTCGCAAGGAGCCGATCGATGAAGCATAATTGGCGACTTAGCGGAAACACAGCGCTCGGTGCACCGGTCGATGAGATTGATCGTCGAAACGAAGAAGGGGAGTAAGGCACAAGGGCATCGGGAGGAGCACCGGCGATGAGAAGCGACGGGACAGAGAGAAAGAGTGAGAAGCGATGTAAAAGAGGAAGAAACGAAGGAACAGGGGCCCCTGGCGAGGGACGCGAAGGAGGGAAGCGGGCACGTACGTACGCATCCAGAGCACGTACGGCCCTGTGCCCATACTTAGAGGGACCCGCAGGTACGCTCTATATACCGTGGGCTCACGCACAGGATCAGACCGTCGCACACGCACGTGTACCACCAGGTAAGGTGGGGTGCCTGCACGAAGTGGGGGACCACACGTGTGGTGTGTGTACACACCGTAGCCGGGGCGAGCAGGTAGACTGCTGGGCGGCCGCCGATCCAGCCTCGAGCACGAGGTCTCCGAGGTGATCCGCCGTCGCCGCTGGAGAACCGGTGCTCTCGATCCTGGTGCGCTTCACCTGACTCGGCTCGCATCGAAATTAGTATACCCTGGCTACCCGGAATGCGATTCTACTCCGCTTGGCTCTGCACCTCTGACGAACTTGATCGAGGACGAACAATTCCGTCTTGCGATGCGATGGAATGTAAATCGAAATTCGACACTTCTTTTTTCACATCGTTCTTCAGAACATGTATTCCAAACTCCGAATGTGTCTAAAGACAGTGAGAGTTCGAACCGGTGAACGTTGTTAATAATCCAGCTTAATAATCGTTTCCGTAACAAGATATGATACACGTAACTCGAAATAGGATTTGAATAGCGGTCC